ATATATATATACTAGAGGCCCCTTGCAGGAAGATTCCTGTAAGAATAGGGCTTCCTGCCATAACTGGTTTGGCTCAGTGGATAGAGCGTCAGCCTGCGGACTCAAGGGTCCCAGGTTCGATTCCGGTGAAGGGCATGTACCTTGGTTGAGGGCACATCCCCAGTAGGGTGTGTGCAGGAGGCAGCTGATCGATTTTTCTCTCCCATTGATGATTCTAACTCTCTATCCCTCTCCCTTACTCTTTGTAAAAAAAATCAATAAAATATATTTTTTTTAAAAAAAGAATAGGGCTTCCTGCGACCAGAGCGAAGCAGAGAAGGGAGCGAAACCCGCCGAGGCGGGCTTTGCTCTTGCCTCTGCCGCCCCACTTCCTTCCCTCCCACCTCCACCGCCAGCTTGTTTCCCTCCCATCTCCACAGCCCCCCTTGCTTCCCTCATGCCTCTGCCGCCCCGCTTGCTTCTCTGCAGCTTCGCTCCCTTCTGCAGCGCTTGGCTTCCTTCTACATTGTCTTCAGTCTTTGCTCCACGCCTGCTTATGCAAATCAACCGCCATTTTTGTTGGGTTAATTTGCATACTCATCTGATTGGCTGGTGGGTGTAGCAGAGTGACACCAATTTGCATGTTTCTCTTTTATTAGTGTAGATATTTAGCTGTGCATGGCTGTGATAGAGCCTCCTACCTGCTTTGCTCCACTGAACAATGGCTTCCCTCTTTTCACTAATCCCACTTCACTACACCTTCCTGGAGAGGAGGAATGTGTCCTGCATTGGCTTTGTCATGCCCTTGAGATGGCAGTGAAGCCACAGAAAACAAAGCCATGTCCCAGTTGGCCACTGGTGCCTTTTCCTTTTTTGAAAAGTGACTTGAAACTTTAGGTGTATCTCAGGCTGCCTGGTCAGCACTTTTTCTCTCCTTTTTTTTTTTTCAGAGGTCAGGCTGAAGAAATTAAAAATATATCTTTAAAACAAAAAAATAAAAAATTTGGAGGCGTTTTTTATTTTATTTTATGTTGAAAGTGCTTTAGGCTCATCTGTATTTAGGCCAACAGTAAATAATGAACCATAATACTGGTCAGTGCCATTAAAGGGCTAGAGTATATGGAAGAGGACAATCACTTCCAGTTTGGGAAAGTGTATGGAAGGTTAAGCAAGGGAAGATCCACAGCGGTGGCATCTGAGGAAGGCCTTGAAGGATAAAAAAGTACTGTACCTCACACTTAGTAGGAGCTTATTTTATTTATTTCCTTATTTTACAACACATTATTTTAGATACAAAGGTAGATAGGTGATAGATAGATGATAAATGATAGATGATAGATAAATAGATGATAGATAGGTAGATGACAGATGATAGATAGATGATAGATAGGTAGATAGATAGATAGATAGATAGATAGATAGATAGATAGATAATAGATGGATAGATGATAGGTAGATAGATGATAGATGATAGATAAATAAATAGATGATAGATAATAGATAAATATATGATAGATAGATAGATGATAGATAGATGATAGATAGATAATAGATAGATGATAGATAAATAAATAGATGATAGATGATAGATAGACAGATGACAGATAGATATAGATAGAGAGATAGATAGATGATAGAGAGAGAGATGCTAGATAGATAGATAGATGCTAGATGCCAGATGACAGATAGATATAGATAGAAAGATAGATAGATGATAGAGAGAGAGATGCTAGATAGATAGATAGATGCTAGATGCTAGATAATAGATAGATAGATAGATAGATAGATAGATAGATAGATAGATAATAGATAGATGATAGATGGATAGATAGATAGATAGATGATTGATTGATAGATAGATAGGTAGATGATAGATAGATGATAGATGATAGATGATAGATAGATAGATAGATAGATAGATAGATAGATAGATAGATACAGAGAGACTGAGCAACTGAGAGACTGAACTTACTAGAGGTCAAATACTGTTATAGACACAATAGTGAATAAAACATGAAAATCTCTGATCTTAAAGATATACATTCTAGTGGAGGGGAAGACAAATGATAACAACATAAATATATGTCACCAAGTAGCAAGTAAAAAAATAAATAAAATAAAATTATCTGTCTCTATAGTTGATAGCTAGATGACATTGGTCAAGGAATATATTCTCTGTAATGCTCATTTGCTGCATTAAAATGAGTCAAATGCTTAGTACAAATGGATATCATAAAATTAAAATGAGGTCATGAATATAAAGGTTTATTTAAGTACTTGGTATATAGTCACATCTAGATTAAAGTTATCAATATCTAGAAAATGGGTAGCAAAACCTGATTGACAGCTAGATAAAGTTTTCAAAGAGAAAAAATAAAGATGGATTTAATTTAGATAATTTATGTGTGTTGTGGGTTTTAAACTTGATTCTACAAAGTTTTTTTGAGGAGCACATTGACAAAAATCACAGGTAAAGGGGAATTACATACATGAAAAAATGGTGTGAGCAAAGAATTCCTAAGAAGATCTTTTAAGGGATATAAATCATAGGAAGGACAAGAAGGCAACATCCAGGACTAGGCACTAGACCAACTCTTGATATTTTTGTTGATTAAAAAAAGGCCACATCTACTAGGAGCGTATGTCATCCAAGGAGACAAGCGTTTGGTAAGAGTGTTTTACTAACTGGGAAGAAAGGAAAAGGAAGGACAGACAGAGCTTGAGACAAAGTGGTAAATGCATGTTGTCTTTACATGTGACTAGAAAAGAATATTAGGGTTTCCAGAGAAATCTAAGTTCGTCAATCCCAGAAGGATTGTAGCTGATGGCAGGTGTTCTATCAATGAACCCTCTACTCCAGTTACCAAGTTTCAGGCAGTTACTATCCTACCACCCCTGAGAGCAGATCAACATGAGCAATGCAAGCTTCTAGTTGTAGAAAGTGATGATTATATTTAGAAAGTCACCAAGAGATGTCTCAGTTTTTTAAAATGTCTTTCTACATTTTGTGATAAATGAACATGAGCAAATACTTTAAGCCAGCTACTTCTTTCCCAAACCACTGTCTATTCCTTCTCTATTATGTATATAATAATACTTATAATAAACTAGAGGCCCAGTGCACAAAAATTTGTGCACTCAGGGGGGTCCCTCAGCCCAGCCTGTGCCCTCTCGCAGTCTGGGACCCCTCGGGGGATGTCCACTTGCCAGCGGGGAGCAGGCCTAAGCTGCAGTCGTACATCCTTAGCTCTGCTGAGGATGCGGGAGAGGCTCCCGCCACCACTGCAGTGCTTGCAGCCATCAGCCTGGCTTGTGGCTGAGCAGAGCTCCCCCTGTGGGAGTGCACTGACCACCAGTCGGAAGAACCTGCATTGAGCGTCTGCCCCCTGGTGGTCAGTGTGTGTCATAGTGACCAGTCATTCCCAGTCGTTCTGCTGTTAGGGTCAATATGCACATTACACTTTTATTATATAGGATAGAGGCCTAGTGCCCTGGTGGGGGCCGGCTGGTTTGCCCTGAAGGGTGTCCAGAATCAGGGTGGGGGTCCTGCTGGGGTGCCTGGCCAGCCTGGGTGAGGGGCTGATGGCTGCTTTCAGGCTGGCCATGCCCCCCGGTGACCCAAGCTCCCAGCCTCTCCTTTTTTCTTTTTTCTGGGATTTATTTATCTTCTATAATTGAAACTTTGTAGCCTTAAGCGGAGCCCAGGTCCGGCCAGGGCAGGTGGAAAGCTTGGCTTCCTCCATCACCAGGAGCAACCCAAGCCTCCTGCTCGCTCCAGCTCTGTGGCCGCCGCCATCTTAGCTGGGTTAATTTACATACTCACTCCTGATTGGCTTGTGGGCATGGCTGTGGGCATGGCTTGTGGGTGTGGCTTAAGCGTAGCAGAGGGATGGTTAATTTGCATCTTTCTCTTTTATTATATAGGATTAAAGTATAAAACAGTTTAGAAATTCATGCAAGTATCAAATTTGTCATAATATAGGAATTAAAATATACATAGTAGATAGGAAATATAAAATACGTAGTAAATAAACATAGTTTCAATCAACCACTAAGTGTTTGTTGAAAATTACTTTGGCAAGCACTGAAGTAAAACACTAAGAACATAAAATAAAATAAGGTCTGATCTTTATTCTAGCATAGCTTAAGCCTCTTGGGGAAAAGATGTATTACAGACAGATGCAGGCACATGTACACATGTGTTACTGGGAGACAGTATATAATTTAATGCTGTAGGAGTTCAAAGAAGTGAATGATTGAGTCTACACAGATAAGAAGTAGCATTTAAACACACACAATAATCATACACACACATATATGAATGTGTATATTTTAATTTCTACTTTCTCACCCTTTACTGCCAGCAGCTAACACCACCTTTCTGAAACTCAGTGTAACAAACATGATGGAGTGACAGGTAGCAGAGGACATATAGGAAAAGAAAAGAGACTTTTCTGAACTATACAAACAAAAATATAAAATAGAGATTATCCACTACTTAGACATTTTAATGAATGTCTGAATACATAGTCATCTATGTGTGTAATGAGATGCATCCACACATTACATTATTGCATTATATAAATACTAGAGGCCCAGCGCACAAAATCGTGAGAGACCCAGACCTGCCACACTGGCAGGACCCCATACCTGCCCTGCGCGAGCCGCGGGCCCTGCCTCTTCCCGCGTGAGCCCTGCCTCTTGCTGTGTGAGCCCTGCCAGCCCTGCATGAGCTCCGCCAGCCCTGCATGAGTCCCAGCCCTGTATGAGTCCCGGCACCGCATGCCCCACCCCACCGCCTCTAGCAGCTCATGGGCCAGGGGGAAGGACCGAGAGGTGCTACAGCACCTCCTGGTGACCAGTTGCTTGGTCGTTCCATGTTAGGGTGTGACAGCCACAGGCCTTTTATAATATAGATCAGGGGTCCTCAAACTTTTTAAACAGGGGGCCAGTTCACTGTGCCTCAGACCTTTGGAGGGCTGGACTATAGTTTAAAAAAAAACTATGAACAAATTCCTATGCACACTGCACATATCTTATTTTGAAGTAAAAAAAAAAAAAGTGGGAACAAATACAATATTTGTATTTGCATGTGGCCCACGGGCCGTAGTTTGAGGACCCCTGATATAGTTAGTTGCATAACCTCACACTTATATGTACGGTGCACACACATGTGCACACACTGACACACACACACGCCATAGATTCTGGCACTCAAACTAGAATATATTCCATTTGCTGTTTATGTTATTACTTTTGTAAATACTGTACATGTATTACATAAAAAGAGTACATATAAACTTTATAGAATTTATTTTATTAAACTACAAGTTTATTAAATTATGTACAATTTACATACAATCCCTATATGCTTATTATACTACATAGAGCAACATATGGGGTGTTAGTCTATGAAAAGGAACCTTCCATGCTTTGCTCAAATGATTTAGTCAGCATTCTGCAACATACCAAACACACGCACAAAAAATTTAAAAAAACTTTTTTTGCTTGCTTATTAAACCTCAGCCATTTATTTGCCCTAGTCTCTCACAGTCACCAGGCCTCAACAAAGGCACTAAGTGCTTTCCAGAACATAGATTTAAATGAGGCCTCTGCCCAGTGGGCTTACAACCTAATTAGACAGAGACAGTTGACCAACATATGCCCACAGACTACAGTTGGCCACTTATTTATTCTCTAATTAACATAAAGCAGCAGGACAACAACTCCGCCTGTGCTCAGTGAGCGGGAGAGCGCCTGTGTGTGCTGTAGAGCTCTGCGGGAAACGAGGCTGCTTCCTTCTGCGGGGCTTTCCCAGGCATTCTCGTGCTGCTTGCCTGTCTCCATAATTAATATTCCTGTGCATATCTTGCTGTGACTATCTATGTCCAAGCAAACAGACCCTCACGGCTCTGCGGAACCATTTAGTCCAGCCGTCTTGATGATCAATACAGGTCACTGGATGGTTGCGTTGACTGTTGCACATGCAACTCTATTGAGAAGACAGGCTGGAGTAACTGAGTGGTTTCTCCAGGCTTTAATCTCATCCTTCCAGCCATCCAAGGAAGATTTTCATCTGGTCATATTAGTTTGTCCCAGTCCAGTAGCTTCTTTCTGTTGTTCCCACTGCCCTTCGCAAACCCTACTGTGAGCTCTTGGATTTTTTGACATTTTTCCTGCCCTATGTGTGTGCGTGTTTTCCCCCAAAAAACAGTATTTGAAATGACGTGAAATACATACAGTGCCACACTATTAAAAACACACACAACTCTGTGAGAATATTATGATGAGAGAAAGATAAGCACCAGGACCAATTATGAAGTTTGAGAAAAAGTTGGCACCTAAAATGCATGTTGAGAGCTCAAAAGTATTTGTTAGACAAAAATCCTTCATGAAGGTGGTTGATGATTTCACTATTTATTGTTTATTCTGAAAGAAAAATGAAAGCAAGAAATTACATTTTTTTCTAACTCTGGGGATTCATTTGATGGTGGAAAAAGTAAAGTTAATTTTTCTTTAGGTTAGACACAAAAAATCTCCAGTTACAACCCTTCTAGTGCTTTTTAAAAAATTCTAGTTAATGTACTTGATCTAACAATAATCATGATTTATCACTTCTAAGGATAAAAAAAAAGAAACCTTCACAATCTTAGAGCCATGAGTTTTTTACCCCATGGTTTACAATCTGCTATTGGAAAGCTGATATTCTTTTTTTGAAGGGAAGGGGGTATTGTTTTCTTTTTCCTATTCTCTATTATTTATAAAAACAGTGTAGATATTGGAGAACGTAATTTCCTATGATATTATTTTTACTTTGTTTAATTCTGATATTTTAAAACTCACATAATTACTGTTGAATAGTCACTCACTATCATTACATTATTTTAAAATGTTTTCAAATAAACTTGGAAATAATTCATTAGACATTTACTAGTAGGAATTGAATACTTATAAAGACACTTCTTACATTTTCCCATAAATTATGGATCTATACATTTATTGCTATGTTGCTGAAGTAATGAACTATAGGCAATCCCATTCAACATATGTGTAAGGAAATTTTTCAGACTTAGTGACATTAATTGGACCTTATCTTCACAAGTCAACTGAAGGACAGAAGGCCTGAAATAAAAATGTAAAATAATATATATAATTCTTTATACAACTGTTATAACTGCTTCTGGTGGTCCCAGAAACACCAGTATTATTGTTTTTGCATAAATTAAGTTGGTACAGTCAGATTTCAAACATCTGGAGCTTTAGAAATAAATGGTCATTTTAATCTTTTGAATCATATTGTTGCCTCAATTTTTTAATGCAGCTGTGAATATGCTTATCATATTGAAAATAAAGCCCAAACTGTAATAAATATCTAAAGTTAATGTAGTTGTACTTATTTCTGTTTAAAACACTATATCTAGAATTGGAAACCATGCAATTTTTTGTGTTTGTTTTGTTTTTACTTTTTTTTCTTTCTCTCTTCTCCATCTTCTATTTTTTATCATGGAAATTTCATGCAGCAAAACAGGAAATTCCACCCAAGTTTATGTAACCTCAGGGCCTCCTCAAGCATGCTGGAGAATCACCTCTGAGAATAGAATTCATTTTGGATTCTTGTATTACCTGCCTCTGGTATTGCACACTTATTTGCTGACTGACTGAATTATTTTAACTTTGGTATGATGTAAATGTTCTTATTGGCACAGTTTCCAATTTAGTATTTTTAAAATCAAGACTAAATTGAATCAGTTCATGGTATAATGCCTCCTCCCACATAATGAAGTACTTAACTAACAGTTTCAAAGTAAAAATAAAGCTAGGAAGCACAATTTAAAAAGGAATTGTAACATCATGATTCTAAAAATTCAAGGTCTAAAGTATTTTCATTTATCCAAATATATTTCCTTAAGACACATAGTTATTTGCATATAATTGCAATTTGTCAGCAAATCAGCACAATAAAAATGTATTCACTGTGTCAGCATCTGTAAGATTTAGTTGTTCTGATGGTCCTTAATAGGTAGAACTAGCATTTCTGGGCTCCTGCCAGTTGGCCATCTGTCTAGGCAGTCCTTGGAGAGTCAGAACAACTGAACTTTTGGCACACTCAATTACATTGAGCAACTACCAACCCTGTTTTAGGTTACAACAGAAGACAGCATTACCACAAGATTAGTTAATTGATTTAATGCTGAGAATTTTAGGAACCTGGAGATATTCATTGGAGCGTCTGAATTAAGTCATAGTGAGTTAAATCCATATAAATTTAAATTAATTAAAAGAGGGTCTCCTTACAGAGGCTTTGCCAGGCATTTTAAGGGATACAATGATAACATCATCCTTGCCCTTACATGAAATAAGATTTGCATTATACATTTATCTAAAGGAAGGCAGCCAGTAATTTTTTTAAGTGATAACTTCAACAACTACTGGCATAGATCAGGGAAAGCAGGACATGAATGACATGTCATTTGTGCCACGTCTCAAACATGGACGTACTTGAAATTAGAGTTGAAGGATGTACCAGGCAGAGAGACAGGTTGACTAACAGCAGTGAAATGATGTAGGGAATTGGAGAAGACTAAGACTGATTGAGAGTCAGATTGCAGCTAAATCAAATAGACCCTTTAGCACCATATTTAAAAATCTAGATTTCCATCATGGAAAGATAAGAAATTTTGAGCAATGAAGTCATGGCAATGTGGTAGTGGGTAGTGTGTAATATACAGGAGAAAGGGTAGCTAGAAAACTCTAAGAGGAAACTTCTACAATGATACAACTTAAAAATAAATATTGTCTGTTGGAGATGTAAATCTAGATTTTTAAATATGGTGCTAAAGGATCTCTTTGATTTAGCTCCAATCTGAAAAAGATGTGGTACATCTACACAATGGAATACTATGCTGCTATAAAAAAGAAAGAACTCTTACCATTCGCAACAGCATGGATGGACCCGGAGAACATTATGCTAAGTGAAATAAGCCAGTCAGAGAAAGATAAATATCACATAATCTCACTCATTTGTGGAATATAATGAACATTATAAACTGATGAACAAAAATAGATACAGAGAGAAAGAAGCATCAAACAGACTGTCAAACTTCAGTGGGAAGGCAGAGGAGGAGGAGGGGGTGGGAATAAGAGATCAACCAAAGGACTTGATGCATGCATATAAGCATAACCAATGGACACAGACACTAGAGGCGGGTGAGAGCATGTGCTGGGGGGGTGGGGATGGCCGGGGAGAGGTCAAGGAGGAAAAAGGAGACATATATGATACTATATGTAATACTTTAAACAATAGAATAAAACTTAAAAATAAACAAACAAACAAACAAATAAATAAATAAATAAAATATTGTCTTCACTAGGGCAAATGAAGAGGGAAAGAAAAGGAGTATGGAGTTCAGAGACAATGCTAAGATAGAAGTAAGCTGACTCATTTAATTTTAGGTAACAGGAAAAAGAGGAATAAATTAAAAATGGTTTTAGGATTTTGAGAAAAAATGATTGTGTGAATGTTATACAATTAAATGAGATACAGAATTTAGTGGATGGCACAGGTTTGGAGATTATATATACAGTATATATCTACACTAATAAAAGAGAAGCATGCAAATTGGTGTCACTCTGCTATGCCCACTAGCCAATCAGGATGAGTATGCAAATTAACCCAACAAAGATGGTGGGTTAATGGAGCAAAGACTGAAGGCTCCGGCCGGAGTGAAGACTGAAGACTGAAGACTGAAGACTGAAGACTGAAGACTGAAGAGGCTTGGATTCTCCACTGTGGCCAGAATGAAGGCCTGGGTCCCAGGTGCTGGAGGAAAACCAGTGCCGGCAGCCAGGGGAAGGAAGGCCTATTGCACAAATGTCTTTGTGCAATGGGCCTCTAATATATATCCCTATCTATCATCATCTATCTATCTATCTATCATCTATCTATCATCTATCTATCATCTCTCTATCATCATCATCTATCATAAGGCCATGGAAGTACCTGAAAGAATGAGTAGAAATTTTAAAAGTGCCACTACATAAGAGACAGAGGATTGAAAGAGAAAAGCCAAGGTAAAATGAAAGGAAAATATAGAAGAATTGGTTGAGCATAGTGAATGGAAATTGTTCATAGGAAAGTTGTCATGGAGGTTAATTGTTTAGGAAATATCAAGGAGACAGAGAACTTAAATAATGCCATTGGATTGAGAATACAGGTCATTTGGAAAATTCAAGGGAATAATTATAGTTGAGTAGGTGAGTTGAAAGTCACATTATATTCATTTATTTCTAAAAGTGGAGGGAAGTGTGCTAGTGAGAGGTTGAGGTAAGAGAAAGGTATTTATAGCTAGATAGATAGATAGGTAGCTATGGACAGACACACACTCAGATGTAAATAATGACTTAAGGAAATGATTTACAGAAGCATTTGTGGTGGAAACGGTAGTCAGTGAAAGCAACGAACACCAGCATTCTATCAAATACTAGTACAGTCGTGTGTTTGTTGCATAACAACCTATCAGTCAGTGATGGTGGTTCTGTTGTATAGTGGGGCAGAACTTCCTGTAAGAAATGGAAGAATGTGTGGTTCTGGAGGAATTATTTGATGGGAGCAATGTCTGTGGGACTTGGCGATAGATTCCCTCTTACTCACAGCACCTCAATATAGAGTGCACAGATTACATCACAGTGAGACAAGTCACTGGCCTATTTCAGCACCAAGGAGCCTGTCCCTCCAGCGTTACATATTTAGAGGGTACCACAGCCCTCCCAGATCTAGCCTGAAGGTCTTCAGGACACATTGCTGTAAATTCTTTGTTGAGGACCTAGGGTCTGTACAAGGACACAGGTCCACAGGCACTACCTGAAGTATTGAGTATCACTGCTACTTTAGTAAGAACTTTCCGTGGTAGGGGAGCCAGCCTTTCTGTGGTAGGGGATACTTTGGAAATATTTTCAGGTTGCAATAATGTACAGCATAGATGAGCTTTATTTCTTCCATGAATCTAATGCCAGAGAGAGAGCCCTTTGTGCCCGATAGGGTCAATAAAACAAAAAACAAATTTCCAAAGTAAAAGTAAAAATATTGAGTCCTCAGTTTTATACGTTTTCTATGTTAAATGCCCTCTTTTTTAAATGACTATCACAAAGTTTCTTAATCTGACCACTGCTTTACCATACAACAGTCAAAATCACATTGCCGTGACAATCCCCTATGTTTACTTATCTCTGCACCTTGACTTCTTATTCCTACTAATCCTCAGGCCACCATTCACTCCTCCCTACCGGTCATTATTATGGTGACCCACACCTTACCCAGTCATTTTTTTCTCAATGAACCTAGCCCACATCTCTATTTATGAGGCGGCATTGACAGCTTCGATATTCTATTTCTGATCCTGTTGGGAAGGAGCAGGGGGAGGGCTGTGGAACGCTGTTTATAAAACCCATAGTAGGGGACAGTGATGTCCTAGGCCTTAATGTTCACTCACCACTCACTCACTGACTCACCCAGAGAACTTCCAGTCCTGCAAGTTCAATTCATTGTAAGTGCCCTATGCAGGTGAACCATTTTTTAATCTTTTATATCATTTTACTGTACCTTTTCGATGTTTAGATACACAAATACCATTGTGTTACACTTGCCGACAGCATTCAGTTCAGGAGCATGTTGTACAGGTTTGTGCCTAAGAGCAAAAGACTATACCAGAGAGCCTAAGTGTGCCAGAGGCTATACCATCTAGGTGTGTGCAAGGGCACTCTATGGTGTTTGCACAGTGCAGAAAGCACCTAACAATGCATGCATTTCTCAGAATACATCTCGGTCATTAAGCAACATATGGCTGTAATATAAAGTGACTGTTTACAAAGATTCATCTAGGGATAAAGAAACCAATAGAAGATGTTTACCTTCCTAGATTTGAAGAGAAAAAAGAAGGAAATAGAAGACCCCAGTGAGCATAGAGTTACACAGGGAACAGCCACTCCAAGAAATATGGCCCACAACAGAGAGGAAAAGTAGCAGAAAAGCTACACTTCTCTTCCTACAGCCTCCCATCTCCTTTCCTTGCCTTCTATTGATATAAAAAATATATAAACCTGGTTAGCACTGAGCCCTGGTGATGCAGTCCTTTGCGAGTCGTCTTTTGGAGCATAAATCAAGGTAGAATCAGTACAGATTGGACAATGAGAGCAAGAGAATAACCAGGATAAGCATGTTCCAGCCATGGAAGAAGTCTCAGGAGTAAGAGAAAAATGTATATTAAAGAGGATGAGATAGTGAATGGAACAGAGTTCAGGATAAGATGAAGGCATATATGGAAAATTTAAGTTAAAAAATACAAAAGAGGAAAAGATGAGATGCAAAGCAAATTTGAAGATGAGATGTCAACATAAGGGCTCCTTTTAGAGGCCATCATCTAGAATGCTTATATAGAGTTTGCCTTTGCCAACCTAAGCATAAAAGGAATGTAGGCAGTTATGAAATCACAAATGTTATCAGACTGTTATTTTCATAATCATTATAGTGATTAAAATGATCAATGTTTTTATTTGTTAATATACTTGATGAATTAGTCTAGAAAAAAAAGTTTTCACAATAGTTACTTTTAACAATTCTGAACAATCTGTGTCTTTCTTAACCTCTGCGTGCCGAGCTGCTGTTATTTTCATAATCATTATAGTGATTAAAATGATCAATGTTTTTATTTGTTAATATACTTTATGAATTAGTCTAGAAAAAAAAGTTTTCACAATAGTTACTTTTGACAATTCTGAACAATCTGTGTCTTTCTTAACCTCTGCACAGTGCCGAGCTCCTCTTTGAGCTCTGTGTTCATTTATTAGAGCATACACAGCCTTATGTTTCACTGTATTTAAGAATCAATGGAGGGCCCTGCCGGCATGGCTCAGTGGTTGAGCATCAACCTATGAACCAGGAGGTCATGGTTCAATTCAGTTCAGAGCACATGCCCAGGTTGTGGGCTCGATCCTCAGTATGGGACATGCAGGAGGCAGCTAATCAATGATCCTCCCTCCTCACTGATGTTTCTATCTCTCTCTCCTTTTTCCTTCCTCTCTGAAATGAATAAAAATATCTTTAAAAAAATCAATGGAGGAAAATAAGGGACCTCTGCAATACTTTCAACAATAAAGATATTTTTTTAAAAAAAATAAAGGATCAATGAGTATCACTGGGAAGAGGGTGTGAACAGTTTTTTCTGTAATGATGATGTTCTTATGGTTTGAGATGCTTTTCCTGCTCCAGTCATCACATCCATGTTTCAAGCAGTGAGATGAGAGGATATGCCTCACCACTTTGAAGGACGTTTCCTGAAAACCCACACACGGCTTCTGCCTGTATTTCTTGTCCATAACTTCATCACTTGAGCCTATGTAGTTATGAGAGAGAATATATGTAGTCTTCTGGATGAGTAGCAATGTCCTAGCAGGAAATTAGTGTTCTGATTATTTGACAGATAGGAAAGCATAGATTTGGTGGGCATCTATAGTTTCTGTTTTTAAAATAAAATAAAAATGCTTTTGAAGGAGAATGTTTTATTGCTCATGTAGAAAAAAACTCATGTGGATATTGGACAAACTAGGGACTCTAGTCTTGACTTCAACATCACTCAGGGGAAATGCCCTTGATCAGCTAGGAGCAGTATGAGTAAGAAAAATACTTAATGTTTGAAATAAAGAAGTAGGATTGAAGAGTATCAAAGGCAATGTAGGAGAGCATTTTCCTAGAGTCAGCTCTATATTGGAACTTTAAAGTCATTCTGAAAGTCATACAGGTGAGAACATATTTTAAATTTAATATCTTAGGATGAGATCCCTTTACTTTTCCTTAAAGAAATTCTTTTGAAGAGCATAAAAAAATAGTGCTCTGATTTAAAGCAAATACCAATCCATAATGAACAGTGTCATAACACGTTTTTACTTAATTATAGGCAATAATGATGATCTCATTTATCAACCTATACACACACATATATGGAGTTAGACTGGGTACTCAGCAGATAATTGCTAAAGAGTTAACTGGTCAGTTGTGAACAGTGTCAAAACAAATACGTGGCAAACAGCGTTATAATAAGTTTTCATTTAATTGTCAGTAATAATGACAATGATCTCATTTATTATATATACTAGAGGCCTGGTGCATGAAATTTGTGCATGGGAAGGGGGTCCCCTCAGCTTGGCCTGCACCCTCTCCAATCTGGGACCCCTCAGGACCTCTGGCTCCTAACCGCTCACCTGCCTGCCAGCCTGATCCCCCTAACTGCTCTCCCCTACTGGCCTGATCCCCCTAACTGCTCTCCCCTGCTGATCTGATCCCCCTAACTGTTCTCTCCTGCCTGCCTAATTGCCTCTAACCACCTCTGCATCTGCCCCTGTGGGTTTGTGTCTCCGATCCTGCCCCCAGCAGCCCCAGCACTGCGGTGGCTTGCCTTGGGTCTGCTGGGTGCCAGTCCTGCGGATTTGTTTCTCTGATTCCCCCAGCAGCCCCAGCACCATGATGGCAGGGCTTGGGGCTGCTGGGTGCTGGCCTCCTTGCATGTTTGTGTCTCCAACCCAGCCCCCAGCAGCCCCAGCACTGCGGTGGCTTGCCTTGGGTCGGGTGGTGGGCCTACGGGTTTGTGTCTCTGGTACCTCCAGCAGCCCCAGCACCATGATGGCGGGGCTTGGGGCTGCTGGGTGCCAGGCTCCCCTGCAGGTTTGTGTCTCCGATTCAGCCCCCAGCAGCCCCAGCACCGCAGTGGCTGGCCTTGGGGCTGCTGGGTGCCGGGCCTGCGGGTTTGTGTCTCCCATCCAGCCCCCAGCAGCCCAAGCACTGCGGTGGCGGGCCTTGG